GCCGTCTTAGGGAGGGGGAGAAAAATTTAAAACTCAAAAGCATATGGAAGTGATTGTTGATAAATCAAAATAAATTAATTAAAAAAAGAAAACCTCAGAAAAAAGAATTTAAATTGGTATGACTAAAAAAATCATCTGTGAACATTACCCATTGCAGTATTTTCTTCCTTTCCCCTTTTCTAGTAGGTCCAATTAAAAGGAAGAACAACTGGAAAATAAAATATAAATAGATATTTTTAGAATTTAGTACATTGAGCCTGATCATTCTGGCTGAGTAACTTGCTAAGTAGATTCAACTAAATATTATGTTAAAAGTCCATTAACTTTTTAGGTTACTAAAAAGTACCATTTACATCATCATTTAGTAATTTATTAAATTTATAATGAGCATTATAAGTATCTAACTTATACTGAGGCAATAGATTTGTCATTTACCATCTCTATGACTGTTTTTATCATCATCCATAAACTGTTTGAATTCTCTTTATGTGCTGGGAACGAAGTACTTGTCATTTTATATCCTCAGTATATCTATTTACTACTTATATAACTCTTACAAAGATGTTACTGTTCAACTCTGCATGTTACTGTTTGAGTAACAACGTAGATAACTATGTTTTCTTCAAGACCAAAGATAATTTGTTAAAGGAAAACAACAGATTTTAGAGTATTTTGGACATAACTTCTGTGATAATATCATTAAGTGCACCAAGTCCATTCAGAGTCACTTTTTTTATTTACTTAATGCTACAACTGGAAAAATCTGCAAACATGAAGTTCATGTCAAGAGCTATTGAACTTTTAGCTGTTTTCATTAAATAGTACAGCTGTAAGTTTTCACACTCTTGAAAAAAATGTATTTTCTTAACCAATTGCTTTTGGGGTATTTTACAGTTCTAAAAGGTTTGATTGTGTGAGTTCTGAGCCCAGGCCAGATTAGAAGCTAGAAATAAGGTAATCTGGAGCAGTTATAGTCGCTATTAGGAGATGGAAATATTTTTATATGCATGTATATGTGTACATACACATAATACACGCATACATATACATTCATATACATATACACACACAGTGTTCACATAGACAAAACAAGAATTGATGGTTTCTAGTCTAATAACAAAAAGTATTACAAAATAAATACAAGAACTTTAAAAAAAGTGTAGCCACTGTGATAGCAAAGCATAGTAATTGAGGTTGATGATTCTTCAAAACAACTCTTTGAGGTAGGTAGTGCGAATATAGTTAACTCTATTTTCCAGATGAGGAAACAGAAGCTAAGACTTATTAGAGAAGTACAGTGTCACTTGCCCAAGGTTGCAGATTTTTTCCACTGAGTCAGAATTTAAAAATCAAAGTTAAATTATATTTAGTATAAGCCCATAAGGAGATAGAAAAATATTTAATAATCTTTTTAGAAAAATTCCAGTCAAAAATTGGTTAAAAAATTTTCTTAAGTGCCTTGGTCCTTAAAGAGTTAACCTTTTATGTGATTTAAAAAACTGTATTCATACTGGGATAGTGTCGAAGGAGCATCATGATAGAAATGTAGTCACTTTATCTGTGCTAAGGAAGACATTAACTTGGATAACTTAAGATAGTGGTTTGCTGTCACCTGTCTTTATTGTTGTTATTGCTTTGAAGAATCTTTATCCAGCATTTATAAAGTACAGTGCCTGGAACATAGTAGGCACTTAATAAATGTTGATTGATGCATTAAAGGTGAAAGTTTCAGCAAATCTAGGTCACATGGTTAATTCACAATTCAATTTGTCAAGAGTTATAAATTGATAATAACAGTTTGGCTATTACTGTGTTATCTCTGCTGCGATTTCTACTATATGGAAATAATTTGGTAATCTTTAATTCTAGATGATTTACTTTTCTGTATTAAGTGAAAAAAGTGATTGCTCAGTCACAAGATTCACCCTAGGTTTTGCGCTATGTTCTTGATGACAGCAAAGAATTTCAGCATTGAAAAGAACTTTAGGAGTCAATTAATAATCCATTCTTGCTGATTGGTATTTGATCTGTATCTGGATACAATCAGAAACACTAAACACCATGGGATATTGTGATGTAATGCGAAGAGCACTAGATTTGGAGTCAAGAGACTCCAGTTTAAATATTATTTCCTACACTTGCTAGTTGAATAGCTATTTTAACTTCTCTAAATTTCAGTTTCATTATCTGCAAAATAGGGATTCCTCCCAGGCTGTTGTAAGGATCTAATGAGATAATATGTATACAGTGCCTTATAAAGTTTAAAAGCACTATATAAATGTCAAGTTATAACTATTCATTATTCATTTTTATGACTCATCTGATGAGTCATGGCCTCTATACTTCCAAAAAGCACCAATTTCCCCTTGAAAAATCTGTCTTTATTTGCAAGACAGTGTTAAATATATCTAATTCTGATGACTTTAAAAATCTTATTGACATCAGTCAAATGACTAGAAAAAGTGACATTTTGCTCTTAAGTAAATTGTGACAGGAATTTGAAAGCAGAAAGTAAGATTAGGGCATGTTTGAAAATTCAGCAGGTGATCATGGTGATCAAGGTGAACATATTAATAAAATGGAGTCTTTTACCATGATTAATGCACATTAAAGATGTCTTTCATTCCTTAGTTTTTAGGGATAGCTGTAAATTTTAAACAAAATAACGCATTTGACCTTACTCTGCTGCTTACTACTGGTGGAACTATGGTCTAATCTTTAAACTTCTCAGTATCAATTTCCTCATGGAAAAAAATCAGGAGGCTAAATGAGGTGATCTCTAAGGTCCCTTTTAGCTTTGAGTGCTATCATCTTTTAGTGTTACAATTATTCTTTTAATGTATCCTAAGAACTAATATTTCATTTTAAATCTTAAAATATTCCCCAAAATCATGCTATACAAATAGCCTAAATAATTATTAATGGTATAGTGTAAATTATTATAACATAATTATATAAACAATACCACCTGTCATATGGTACCTTATAATTTTAAAAGAGGTATATATACACACACATAAGTATGCAGAAGAACTTCACTCAATCATTATTAAAAAAGTTTAAAAGACAGACTTCCTAGATTGGTAAAAAAGGGGACAAAAATATTGAAATAAATATCTTTTATGTTTCATTTACTTGAGGTAGACTCAGTTATATGTTTTGGTTTAAATTGTTCCAGGTTGAAAATTATTTTTGAGGCATATCTAAGTAAGAGTGAGCAGTTGAGAAATCACGATGTGAAACAAATACACTTAAATATTACTTGAGAAATTTATCTTTGGCCTTTAGTTAAGCCAATTTCATGGACTTTTCATAATATATACTTGTCAGTGACTTTTGAACCTTAATGGCAACAGCAAAAATGGAGGGGGAAATAAGCAAGAAAATAGACAAACTACTTCTAGAATTTAGGTATCCATGTTTGTCTTAGTTATGATATTTTGTTGTTGCTATTGTTCAGAGTTATAGATGGAAGTAAATGTCAACTTTGTATTAAAACCAAGTTTTAATTTATTTTTAATAATTTATTTGTTTTTAGTTTTCAACATTCACTTCCATAAGATTTGAATTTTAAATTTTCTTCTCCTTCCTCTCCTCTCCCCTCCCCAAGACGGAGAGCAATCCGATATAGGCTCTAATCATATTTTCCCATTAGTCATGATGTAAAGAAGAATTAGAACTGACGGGAGGAAACCCAAGAATGAAGCAATAAAACAAAACAACAAAGAAAAGGGGAGCAAAAAGTATGCTTTCATCTGCATTCAGACTCCATAGTTCTTTCTCTGGATGTGGATAGCATTTTCCATCATGAGTCTTTTGGAGTTGTCTTAGATCCTTGCATTGCTTAGAAGAGCTATGTCTATCAAAGTCAGTCATCACACAATGTGGCTGTAACAGTGTAATAACGTTCTTCTGGTTCTGCTCATTTCACTCAGCATCAGTTCATATAAGTCTTTCCAGGTTTTTCTGAAGTCCATCTGCTCATCATTTCTTATAGCACAGTAGTATTCCATTACATTCATATACCACAACTTGTTCAGCCATTCCCCAATTGATGGGCATCCCCTCAATTTCTAGTTCTTGGTCACCACAAAAAGAGCTGCTATAAATATTTTTGTACATGTTGGTCCTTTTCCCATTTTTATGATCTCTTTAGGATACAGACCTAGAAGTGGTGTTGCTGGTTCAAAGGATATGCACAATTTTATAAGTCTTTGGGCATAGTTACAAATTATTCTGCAGCATGGCTGGATCAGTTCACTATAACACCAACAATGCATTAGTATTACAGTTTTCCCACATCTTCTCCAACATTTATCATTATCCTGTTTTCTCATGTTAGCCAATCTAATAGATGTGATACCTCAGAGTTGTTTTGATTTGCATTTCTTTAATCAGTAGTGATTTAGAGCTTTTTTTCGTATGTCTTTAGTTTCTTCCTCTGAGAACTGCTTGTTCATATCCTTTGACCATTTATCAATTGGGGAATGACTTGTATTCTTATAAATATGACTCAGTTCTCTCTATATTTTAGAAATGAGGCCTTTATCAGAGACATTGGTTATAAAAATTCTTTCCCAGTTTTCTGCTTCCCTCCTAATCTTGGTTGCATTGGCTTTGGTTGCAAAAACTTTTCAATTTAGTGTAATCAAAATTATCCATTTTGCCTTTCATGATGTTCTCTATCTCTTGTTTGGTCATAAATTCTTCTCTTTTCTGTAGATCTGATAGGTAAACTATTTCTTGCTCTCCTAGTTTGCTTGTAGTATCAGTCTTTATATCTAAATCATGTACCTATTTTGACTTTATCTTAGTATAGGATATACAAATTTTAATTTATTAAATGCAACTTTATGGGCAATTATAATTTCTACTCTCACTGCCCCCCCCCCAGGTGAATTTGGCTTTTTTATGGTAAGTAAAAAGTTTTATATTGTACCCTGGATTGTTTTTAGACGTTTTTCTTCTAATACTATAATGGGTAATTTTTTTTTCTATAGCTTGCACTAAAAGGATCCAGCTACAATGGATTACTTGAGCGACATCATATTCATACCAGGAATGTAGAGCATATTCTGGATAGTTTACGGTAAGACTTCTGAAAAACTAGGATAACCTTTTGGCTCATGGGCTTCAAACATTTGTGTATTAAGTTGCCAAACCTGGGTCCCAGAGAAGTTAAGGCGCTTATCCAAGGTTACCCAGGTAGTAAGTTATAGAGATAGAATTTGAACTCAAGTTCTCAGACTTTAAATCTAGAACAGTACTCGTTTCACTGCATAATGCTAACCCCAGTCCAGTCCTTTAAGGTCAGCAACCAGAGGAGTTATAATACAGATGGCAGGGGCAGCTAGGTGGTGCAGTGGATACCGGCCTGTACCAGCCCTGAAGTCAGGAGGACCTGAGTTCAAATGCAGCCTCAGACCAAACACTTGACACTTACTAGCTGTGTGACCTTGGGCAAGTCACTTAACCCCAACTGCCTAAGCAAAAAAAAAATAATAATAATAATAATATAGATGGCAGTTGGAAATTCAGAGACTAGATTTGTGAGCTTTTTAAAAAGTTGGTAGCATTAATGTTGCCATTTAAAAATATTAAAAAGGAAAAACTCAAATTTTTTTTTCCTTTAAAAAACTTATCTGTAAATTAAGAAGAAAATTCTTAAGAAAAGTTTATGGTGATAAATAAACCATTCTGATTGTACAGCACCTTAAGTAATTTATTGGATATGAATGTAAGTGGTGTAAAAATCATTGGAAATTTAGGATTTATCAGCATGGCTAAATGAGGTTGTATGTTTGTAATTTGAAACAGCAGCATAATAGCATTCCATACTGAAATTCAGGGATTGCTGATCAAGTTTTATGCTTTTTTTATTTCCTCCCTTAACTGTAAGCCTTCTGTTGGTTTCCTTTTCTTTAACACATCAGAAATCAAGCTGTTCAGTTTTGGTATAAGTTTTTTGGTTGGTAAAGGAAGTCGATCTGATCCCCAAACTTTAATTAATAGTTAAAAAAAAGACTTTTCAGTCTTACTATTTTTTGTTTTATCCTGGAAAATTTGAAGCAATGAAATACATAATAATTAGAGTAAGATTTTGTTCCTTACATTCAACTTTCTTATACCTGTTAGGAATGAGGGAATTGAAGTTCGTTTGGTGAAGAGGAGAGAATATGACGAAGAGACTGTTCGATGGGCAGATGCTGTTATAGCTGCAGGAGGTAATATTCTTATAGGACAAGCATGGTGGGGGATATAGAAACATTTGTTTGCTAAATGTATTTGAAAATACACGGTACCCTTGCATAGTAGAGCTCTCAGGGCCATATGAGATCATTATGATTTCTCAACAATTCAAGAGCCAACACATAGGTACCATATGAAGAGTTTTGCATTATTATTGTGTTGTGTTATGTATTTTTCAAAGAATGAAAGTTTTACATATAGTGTGAGTCAAATGGTTGGCTGGAGTAATTAGGATTTACATATATCAGCTTTTTCTTTTAAAAACATTTTGTAAAATATAATTTGTTTTGTAAAATTAATTTGGAAAAATTGCACAACTCTCCCCTTTCCCACCCCAAAAAGAACAAAAGCAAAAAAAACACACCACATTCAGTAAACTTGAGTGGTTTTCTGTTACCTCCAGGATCTTCTCTATTTAACTTTTATAGCTCTTTACAACCTGGATCCTTCTTCACTTTCCAGTCTTCTCACACTTTAGTCTCTTCCATGTACTCTGTGATCCAGTAACACTGACCTTCTTATTGTTCATCACACAAGATAGTACCTTTAGCTAATTGGTACAGAGGATGGAATGCTGAATCTGGAATCAGGAAGACCTGAGTTCAAATCCAGTTTCAGACATTTACTAGCTGTGACTGTGGGCAAATCATTTAACCTCTCTTTGCCTCAGTTTCCTTGTCTGTAAAATGGAGATAATAATAGCACCTACCTCTTAGGGTTGTTGTGAGGATAAAATAAGAAACTTTCAAGTGTTATATAGATGTTGGTAATATCATTGTTTTTATCTCCTGAGCCTGTGCATTTTCACTGGCTGACCCTTATACCTGCTTTCTTTATCTCTGTCTTCTGGTTTCCTTCTTCATAGGCTAAGTTTACCAAAAAGATCTTTCCAGTATCTGAGAGGATACTCCTCAATCCCTTCTCCCTCCACTCCATGCCTTCTCTGTGAGATTACCTTCCACTTACATTGAATATACTTTGTATCTAATAGTTATTTGCATGTTTCTCTTCTTCAGAATGTGAGCTCTTTGAGGGCAGGGACAGTGTTTTTGCCTTTGTACCCCCAGTTCTTAGTATGGTGTCTGCTATATAGTAAGTGCTTATAATAAATGCTTGTTGATTGATTGGTACTTGAGTTGGTTATTGATCACTGTGGATATTAATGCAAAGACTCTGTATGAATGATATTGTCAGATCTGCAGCAGATTGTTATTGTTAATTGTAGTATATTTCCTCATTAAGTGAGTGATGAACAGGTAAGGATTTTTGTAAGGAACGAATGGGAATATGATGGAAGATAAGATAAATCATATGTTGGGGAGGAGTGGATGAGGGATGACAGAAGAGAAAATAGTACCTGAGTTTTGATATCAACAACTGGTTTTAACACAGATGGGTAAGGTTAATTTTGCCTTATCATGTTTCCTAGGTGATGGCACAATGCTGCTGGCAGCCAGTAAGGTCTTGGACAGGTTTAAACCAGTTATCGGAGTAAACACTGATCCAGAACGGTAAGGAAAACATAGGAAATTCCCTTTTAAAAATGAACAAACATTGCTAAATAAGAAAATTAAGTCAATTCGTGCTGATTCACACACATTATCCCCTTTGATCATTCTCATGTATCAGGAGTTAGTCTTTTACTCCCTCTTCCAACCTACTATATTGGTAATTTGGGTTGGGGTCGTATCTCTAAAGTGAGAAGCATTTTTTGGAAGCCTAGCACTATTTTTGGTTTTTAAGCTGCTGTATGGAATGGAGCTGGGGTCCAAAATCATTTGGATTGTCTGTTGTCTGTGAGTGAGGATTCTTGCACAGAGAGTTGGGCATTCCCTTTAGTATAGTTCCTTTCATTCAGCTGGTTCAGAGTAATAACTCATTCATGGGAGGAAAGTATGGTTCTAGCTGGGTTGGGTGGTGGAGAATCCTCACTGAGGGGAGAGCTAGTTTCCACAGTGGCAATCTTTTTTGTCATGTTAGTTTGGAGAGTGAGAGTGTGTCTATGTCAGTAATTACTTCAGAGAGTAGTCCTTGAGTTAGCTGAATATTGGAGAATCTTACTGTGGTGAATTTGTGGATTCCTTTGTCCTTGGCAAGAAGCCTTTTTAACCCAGATATAGGAAACAGTGCCATGACCTCAACCAAGCTTGTCATGTTATTATTGTATGGGTATACCATAGCCCAGCTTCTTTGGAAATTTGATTTGCCTATTCAGCAGGTAATTTGAGTGCTTGCTCTTATATCTGTAGAGGTAGTTTAGATTTGTGTATACATGTACAGCATTAAAGTGATTCTTGAAGTTATTTTTAAATGGTAATTTTTTCCACAATTTATGAAAATCTTTTCTCAATCTAAAAACTCTATTTTGTGTAAACTCACGAGATATCTGGAAATGGTGTGGCATAGCCAGGAAGATATCCCATTTTATCTGGTTTTGCACATGGAACAATTCAGAAGGGCTTATAAGAGGTTATGCCTTCTGTCTCCTTGCCTTCAGGCACAAAGATAGCTAAACCTTTGTTTTCTTAAGCTACTTGCTATACTTGTTCTCTTAGGAACAAGTTGTGGTTATCTTATAATCTTTAAAACCCAGCTTCATTTCCTCCTGCTACAATTTTATTCCATTTCTGAATACTCATTTGACCCATTTGGGTATTTATAAGTCAGATGACAGCAATATAGGCTCAGTAGAATGGGGTAAAGAATAAAGAAAAATACAGGCTGGAACTAGGAACACTCATAGTTCATTTCAGTGAAGACAAATGACCATGCACCAAAAATACATATTTATAGATGTGTCTGTATGTTCTGGATATTGCAAGAATAACATCAAATTTAGAAAGCACTTTATACACATAAAGTACTATGTGTATATAACTAGTCCAGTGCTATGTAAATAAATGAGTTGAGCTATTATGGCTGTTGCGTAATTATTTGTTTAACAAAAGCCTCATTGATTATTACTCTTAATGAAAGGATGCCTGACCCTTGAAATGAGGTACAAATATAAAACCTATGAAATGCAAGCATCACTTTTGTGATTCCTTTTTTGCCCTAGCACATAACTGATATTTGTGACCAAATTCAGACATAGGTTGTCTGACATAGGTCAGTCAAGTCTAATTAATCTAATAATTCATTCAGCTTAATATTCCTTTTCTTCCTTATCTTTCTTTTTTCCTGCTTCCTGCCTGAGTACAGAGCTACGGGTCCCATCCTACTGGAAGGCTCTGCAGAAACCTTCCTGACTGGCTGCCCTCCCCATTGACTGTAGAGCTGTGGTAGGGAGCAGGAGTAGAGGCAAGCTAGAAGCTATATTGTTCTTATTGAGGAGTAGGATCCTGGAACCTTCCAGCCTAGACAAGGGCTACAGCCTTTGGCTATGTAGCAGCATAGACTAATGGTGAGCCTATACTATATTACTGTTATGGAGCAGGATTGAGGAAGAATGGAGGCTGGGGCTTGCAGATCTGTACTAGGACAGGGATTGTGGAACAGGGATGATTTGACAGCTCTGTTGTTCTGACCACACAGCAGAATCCAGATTTGGCCCACAGATTGAGGCTTGGATCTTATAGTTGAGTAAGCAAGGCAGGGAGCCAGGAGTGGGGGTGAGTCTGCAGTTCTTTTGCTTTGAAACTGCAGAGTCTTCTGACTAGCTGACTGAGTCTGGGGCCAGCGGCTGTCTATTTATGCTCCATTCAGCAGAGCTCAGCATGGAGGGCAGTGATGAGACTGTGCCTTAGATCAGACTGTTTGGGGAGTGCTGAGATTTTGCAGTTCACTGGTATGAGTCACTCCTGAGATCCTTGAAGAAGACAACACTCAATCTTACGAGAAAGTAGAAGACTGTCAACAAGGCCCCGATGTTCCCTCCCAAAGTACATAGAGCCTTGTCCTAACCTAAAGTCTCAATTCTGGAAGTAAGATTGGAAGAAAGTAATAAAAAGAAATCATTGATGAAAAAGAACTGTTAAGGAGCCAGGGATATACAATGCCCAAACCCAGAAGAAGAGGATGAGTGCTAAAGCATCCACAAAAAAGCGTCAAGGGAAAACACAGTCAACTAGAATTCCTGGATAAAATGAAGGAAGAATTTTAAAATGATATTACAAATTAAATGAGAGGTCTGGAGGAAAGGATTGGGGGGAAATGAGTTTGAAAGATTTAGAAAGGGAAGTAACAGCTTTGTATAATGGACAAAAGCCTTATCCAAGTAACAGACTATCTGAGTGAAAAATTAGAATGAACAAAAGAAGTTAATGATTCAGTGAGACAACAAATATTAAAGTCAAAAAACTTAAAAAAAAAAAGGAAAATAGAAAGTATCTCATTAAAAACAACTAACTTGAAAGATAGGTTAAGAAGAAAAAAATCTTTGAATCGTTGGACTACCTGATAGTCATGATTAAAAAAACAAGAACCCTGATACAATAGTTCAAGAAATTGCAAATGAAACCTGTCCGAATTTATCAGAAACAGATAGCAATGTGAAAAGAGAACAAATCCACCAGTCATCTCATGAAAGAAACCCCAAAATGAAAACTCCTAGAAATATCAATCAAAATCTAGAGCTTCCAGATCAAAAAAAAAACTATTGCAAATAGCCATAAGGAAAATATTTATGTGCTGAGTAGCAATAAGCTCACACAGGTTTTTGGCAGCTACCATTCTTAGTGGAAAGAGAGCTTGGAATACTATATTCTAAAAGACCAAAAAAATATGGACTTGTAACTGAGAATAGGTTACCCAAAAAAATTGAGTATGATCTTACAAGGGAAAAAATGGCACCTTTATGAAAATTGACTGTTATTACAACATCTAAATCTTACAATTGCAGAAAAGCCGAACTTAACGCATCTTTTACTGATCATGGTGCAGTAAAAACTATGGTGGATAAAGGGCTGTTGAAGAAAGAATTAAAACTTGAGACTAAATAATCCTAAAGGATTTTTAGTCAAAGAACAAATCATAGAAGCAACAGAAAATTTCATCAAAGTAAATGACAACGAGGCGAGGAATGGGGCGCAGCCAAAGCAGTTGTTACGGGGAATTTTATATCTCTAAACACTTTCATCAACAAAAGAGGTAGATCAAGAAAGTAGGCATGAAACTTTAAAAAAAAATCCTTAGAAAACCAACAAACGAAAAAGTTCCAGTTAAACACCAAAATAGAAATCATGAAAAACAAAGATAGGAAAACCACATTACCAGTATTAAAAATGGAGAAAAAATGCAACAAACGAAGAAATAAAGGAAACTATTAAAAACTATTTTGCCCAATTCTATACCAATAATACTGACAATTTAATAAATGGATGAATATTTTTAAAAATTTAAAATACCTAGAATAACAGGATAAGAAAGAAAACTTAAATAATGTACGCTTAGAAAAGAAATTAAGCCATAAATGTACTTCTAAAAAAGAAAAACACAAGAGCACAAGTTAATTCTATCACACATTCAAAGAATAATTAAATCTAATATTATGTAACCTTTTTGCAAAAATAAGAGAAGGGATCTTACCAGACTTCTGGATACAAATGTGATTTTGATACCTAAAATCAGGGAGAGAAAACAGAAAAAAATAAATATTACTAATGAACAATAACTTAATAATTTTGAGTAAAATATTAGTAAAGAAGCTACAATAACACATCCAAAAGTTTATTCACTATGACTATGTTGGATTAATACAATGTTGGTTTAATATTAGGAATGCTATAAACAATATTAACAACAAAAAAAATCAATGTATCAATAGGTGTTGAACAAACTTTTGATAAGATACAACACATTGTCTAGCAAAAACAGAAGAAGGCATAAGAATGAATGGACCTTTCCATATTTTGGTCAGTAGTATCTATCTGAAGCCAAAAACCAGCATCATATCTAATGGAGAAAAAGTATAGTGGCCTTTCTGTTGATACCAGGAGTAAAACAAGTGTGTCTACTAAGATCATTACTATTAAACACAATGCTGGAAATGCTAGCTGAAACAACAAGACAAGAGAAGGAAATTGAGGAAGTTAAAAGGAAAAGACAAATTTTTGCATATTTGATTTACTTAGAGAACTAGATGTTCAATTAAAAATTAATTGGAACAGGAACTTCAGCAGAGTTACAGGATATAAAATCCACACGAATCTTCCATATTTATGTATATTATGAAAAAAAATCAGCTAAAAGAGGTAGAAATATAAATTCTATTCATATTAACTAGAGAATATTTAAAATGCTTGAGTTTACCTACCAGGACACACAAAGGAACTGTATAAGTATAATTAAAACACCATTGACAGAAAGAGATCTAAATGGACAAATACTCATTGCTCATGGGTAGGCTAATCCATTATAGTGTAACTGCCAGAACTGCCTGAATTAATTTCCTTATCCAGTGCTATGTCAATCAAACTAACAAAGCATTGCCTTTGTTGTTGTTCTGTTGTATCCCACTCTTTGTGACTCTATGGACTTGGCTGTGGGAGTTTTCTTGGTAAAGACACTGGAGTGGTTTGCCATTTCCTTCTCTAGCTCCTCTAAATGAGGAAACTGAGGCAAACAGGATTAAGTGGCTTGCCCAGGGTTACATAGTTAGTAAGTGTCTGAGGCCAAATTTGAACTCAGATCTTGCTGACTCAAGGCCTAGTGCTCTATCCACTATACCACCTAGCTGCCCCAAGGATTACGTTAGCTATAAAAACAAATAATGAACATATCTGGAGAAACAAAAGAATAAGACTCTCAGGAAGTAGTGGTGGGGGGAGTGAGAAATGAGGGACTCTAATAGAACTAGTTCTCAGATTGTATACTCAAAACAATAACCACAGAATCCTATTTTTAAAAATGAATATGTCTGGAGAAACAAAAGGACAAGACTCTCAAAGTAGTAGGGGGAAAAAGAAGAAGTGAGAGAGTCTAATGGGGAAAAAAACTCAAATTATACACGCAAAACTACCATCATCAAAAAACACTTGAGTTTGGGAGACCAACCAACCTGTAATTTGAGTCAAAAAATAAAAATAAAAAAGTTGTTCAGGGGACTGGATTAGATGCATATAGAGACAATTAAACATAGTAGGATAGAATTCAGTAAACCAAAGCCTAAACTATCCAATCTAAACTGTGAAGATCCTTTCAAGGTGAAGCAGTGAATTGGTCCAGCAATTTGGAACTGTTCCCCCAAAGCCATTAAACTGTGCATACCTGTGACCCAGCAATATCACTACTAGCCTTATACCCCAATAAGATCAAAGAAAGAAGAAAAGGATCCATACGTAACGAAAATAATTAGAGCTGCCATTTTTGTGGTTGCAAAGAACTAGAAACTAAGTAGAATTAGCAGTTGCAGAATGATTGATCACAAGAATGTAAGGGAATATTATACAGTAAAAAATGACAGAAGGGATGATTTCAGAGAAATCTGGGAAGACATAAATTGATGCAGAGTGAAGTGAGTAGAACGAGGAGAATAGTGTATATGATAATTACAACATGGAGAAATAATACTGAAAGACTTAAGAACTCTGGTTACAGTGACCAACCATAATTTAAGAGGACTAATGATGAAGTATGTTACCTACTGCTTGTTAAGCAGCTTAAGAAGCAGAATTAGACATATTTTTTGATATAACAAATGTGAAGATTTGTTTAGGTACATTTTTGTTTTAGGTTTTTTTTTTCTTTTCAGTTTTTAAACTGAGACTGAAACTGAAAAACAAACCCAGATCAGAAAAGTCAGAAGAAATAGTAGACTACCAGGTCAGCTTTGAAAGCTAGCTACATGTTGAATTTATTATATACATTAAAAGAAAACAAACTATTATACAGATTTTCTGTCTTATTGACAATCCTCTTTCTGTTCTACAATATATATGAAATATTAAAAATTTTATGTTTAAGTTAAGTTCTTAAAAAGTTATGACAAACTTGAGCTTTGTGGAGGTTTGTGACAGTGAAATAGTTATGAATATTTCGCTTTTAGTGAAGAAAAGGAGTATGTAATCTGGCAAAGACAGCAGTAGGGAAAAGTAACAGTAGAGGGGCATGAGTATAAGTAATTTAGCAGATGTAGCAAAAATAGCAATTTGTGTTCAGCATTATAGTTTTAGAATCTGAAGGGATGTTAGAACCAGATGTGTTCAATAAAGGACATCTCCTGGCCTGGGCTATTGAAATCACCTGCTTGATTGGTCTCCCTGACTCAAATTTCTCTCCACTTCAATCTACTCTTTACTCAGCTGTCAAATTGATCTTCCAAAAATACAGGTCTAATCATATTCCCTCTTCCCCATTCAATAACTTCAAGTGACTCCCTCTTACCCCTAGAATCAAATATAAAATCCTCTGGCTTTTAAAACCTTTCCTAATCTGATCCTTTTTTACCTTTCCAGTCTTCTTACTCCTTCCTTTGTACTGACACTGACTTCCTTGCTGTTCTTCAACTGTGACTCCATTTTTTGACTGAGCATTTTCACCATCTGTCTTCCAGGTCTAGAGCTCTTTTCTCATCTTTGTCTCCTGATTAATTTCCCTGGCTTCCTCTGTTTCGGCTAAAATCACACCTTCTTCAAGAAGCCTTTCCCAAACCAACTTAGTACCTTCCTGCAGAGATTCTCTCTCGCCTCCATTTTAACCTGAATCTATCTTATTTGTACATAGTTGTTTGCATGTTTTCTCACCTATTAGACTCTTAGCTCTTTGAGAGCAGGGACTAATTTCTGTCTTTCTTTGTATCTCCAGCGCTTTTAAAAATGCTTGGCACATTAATAGGCATTTAAGAAATGCCAGTTGGCTGACGGAAGTGAATTAACTCTAAGATTTAGAGCTCGATGGGATCTCAGAGCTCATCTGGTCCAATTTCCCTCCTTTATAGAAGTGGCACCTACAGCCAGAGAAGTTAAGTGACAGCCAGTAAATGACAGAGCTAGTTGTGGCTTTGTGAGTCATGTTTATTATTGTTAAACTGAGAAAATTTGGTTGTATAGAGGACTTTAAAAGAAAGATAGAAACTGAGTTGTTATAGGGTTTAAGGTTTTAATAGGGTGTATGTATTCTGGTAGAGAGCAAGAAATGGACTGTGGGGAAGCCTAGTAAGATGGGATGGGTAAGTGGTATCTTATGTTCTCCTTATTGGGAACAGAAAAAGTGGATTTGTGTCTTATATGCAATTCCTTTAAAGACTTTGTGATTACTTGTCATTTTCAGGCTTAATCTAAATTTTTTAGGGAGCTCCTAACTAGGAGCTTTCTCATAAACATGATTCATTATCTGAAAATTTTCTTAATTATTTAGAAGGAAGAGGTTGCTAGCATAACATAGACATCACCGGTATAGCCCTAGGAGGTGTATAATAGAGAGTAGTTTTCTGTTTACCCTAATTACTTTCCCTCTGGAAGGGCAGGAAAAAGTTTTAATTCTGTTATGCTTTTGTTTTCTTCATAGGGCTCATCTTTGCCCACAACAACAAGTATAATCAAGAGTTAACTTTTTAGAGGTTCTAAATTTGTCAGGGTTTTTCCTCAGCTCTTATGCTTCTGTTATTAAAAAATTCTTTTGTTACATATTAACACCATTGTTGTGCTGATTCATATTTAACTATCCTCTACAGAATTTTTCATTTTGAAGGTAGGTGAGGTGATGCCCATATCTCTTGTTAGAAATTGCAGAGGCTGATAGATCACTTGAACTTGGGAGTTCTGAATTGTAGTAGATTTAGAGCCAAATGAAAATCCACACAAAGTCCAGGACTAGTATAGTGAAACCCTGAGAGCAAAGGGCTGTGAGATGAACTAAGGAAATGGAAATAGTCCAGGGTGAAAATGAGCAAGTCACAATTTTGGTCTGGAAATTCAGTGTGGGTGAAATAGACCTAATCTCAAAAAGAAAAGAAAAGAAAAAGGTATTCTCAGTTTTGGTCTTCCATTAATTTTAAATAACTTATAATTACTTAATTATATAAATTACTTAAGGGTATAGCCTTTTAAATAACTTAACTTTCAATTTTAATTTGATGTAGACTACGTTAACTATTACTATATAGTACGTACCATATATTAATATTACTATGCTATTATTTTATACATTGTGTGGAGTATAGATTTTAATTTTAAATTGATTTGCTATTGTTTTACAATGGAAAATGAGTTTATTTTACAAGATAAAATACAACTTGGTATAAATGTTAATGTGTTACCTACCTGATTCTTGATGTTAATATTCTTACAAATGAAAGATCTCTCTTCTTCCTCTCCCCAAACCAACTGAATCTATAAAACAAAGGTCTGAGGGTCATTTATGTCTGCCTGTGCGCTATACACACTCCTTTCCAGAAGCACTACAGAAGCTTTATCGTGGTGAGTTCAGGTAGGATGATCTTGTTACTCTTTTTACATTTATAAAAACTCTTGAGATAAAATTTTATGAGTAGAAATTATTTTGTAGGTAAGTAAAAGTCTTTTAAAATGAATGAATATGAACTGGGTAACTTGATGTAATACTAATTATATTACATTTTCAAATTAATCATTATAAAAGGTAACTGATTAACTGAGTCACCACAGTAAAGTGGGTGCAGTTTGCCTTCCCTCAGCCCTGCTTAGGAATAATTAAAATTATGGCCATGACAAATACTTGATATGTGATTTTAATGTAGCTGCTAGTAATAGTTTCCCTGCATTTAAAGAGGTTGATTCTTTATTTAATGCACTTTACTACATGTTTGTAGTAGTTTAGTAGGTCATATAGTTGAAATTATTGGCTAGAATCGGGTTTTTCATTTTTCTGTGATTTCATTTTCTTTTGCTCTAGTTTACCCGTAGCAATAAGAGTAGTTGAGTTTTTTAAATTCTAATTCTAGTGCTACTCTTCATGTCCCATCTTGACTTTTCAGATACTTCCCTCCCACTCTAGTAAGTAGTGATAGTAATGGCAGCAGGTTACTCTTATAAAGTACTAAGTAGCCAGATATGTCAAGAAGAATGCCCAAGTTTATTTGAAGGTGACCAGGTTAGTCTTGCAATTTTATATTTTTCTAGGATAGCTCTTATACACTGAGGAAACTATTCCCTGGAGTATTCATAAAGCCACACTAAATCTAATTTGACTATTTGTTACTAGTTTAACTATTATACAGGAATGTCAGATAATATTCTTGTCCCTCCAAAGAGTTTGGGTACCTTTCTGAAATATTTATACTTAAGAAGAAGCCTTCTTAGAATGATCAATCTCATTAAATTTTACATGTGCGCACACGCTTTTTGTGTCTGTTCTTGAAATTAGCATTGAAGAATTGGGGAATGAAAACTTGGAGGTTTAATTAAGTAGAAATTTCATTTAAATTACTATTTAAATTTAAATGCACCTTATTGTTATCTCAATTAGAATTGGAATTCAGGAAAACATTGCTTAGTTATGTTAATGAGATAACAATGGATTTTTGAACAGACTTTCTAAATCTTTCCTTAATAAATCCATTTAGGATTTTCAAAGAATAACAAAGCTGTAATTCTACTTTTAAGAGACACCTGCCTTAAATAGGCCATTTCTTGACTTTCTTCAGTTTGTTTTTTCAGGCATAATTTATTCATAAAATGATTGGTTTGTATATTTGATGTAATTGTTGCAATATATAATCTTTATTGTGCTCATGTATGCTGCTCTGAAATTGGTCTTTTATTCCCCTTCTTCAAGGTGGCTATGGAGACAGCGAATCAGGTTATACCTTGAAGGAACTGGAATAAACCCAATTCCTGTAGATCTCCATGAACAGCAGCTGAGTTTGGATCAACACAGCAAGGCCCTCAACAGTACAAGAATCCATGATCAGAGTAGGTTAATGGAATTAGGGATATTGTCAATATTACACTTCATTTAAGGTTACATTGGCTTTTTGTTTTCAATTTTGAGATTACATCAACTATTTTTTATATTTGTCTATTCTGAGGTACTTTATAATTTATTACTTGAATAAAGTACTTAAAACTGTTAAGAGAACACTCCATCGAATAGTCAGGAGACTTTAGTTATGAATGTTTTTTGGGGTTAAATAAAGATTTTTCATTCATTTATGATTTCCCCTTCCCCCCCATTAACATAGATAATTAAGAATTGGATGTGTCAGAGAATGTGGATTTTTTTTTTTTTTAGCAGATGCCAGACATAGATTTTTCAACCACTTATCATAGAAGCTACCTTCACATATATTTTCTTCCAGCTGTGACATCATTGTTTCATATACTTATTTTTGGCTTTTATAGATATCACCTCCCTCACCCCAACCTACTCTTTCTCTGACTCATCTCTCAAGATTTCTATTGAACGCCTTACTATCCTCAGTCTGGTCATAACTTCAGAATCATTCCAGGCTTTTTTACTCTTTGTTGCATCCATCACTGTCTGTCCACTCAGATTTGGCTTCCATTCTTTCCTCTCTCCAATCCATCTTCAATACAACTGCCAAAGTTTTTTTTTTTTCTTTTTCCCATAAGCACAAATCTTACTATCTGTCCTTTTTTCAGAGTTGCCTGTTGCATTTAGAATAAAATGTATACTCTTAAGCCTAAAAGTTATAGCATTCTACATTCTAGTTCCATCTTTTCTTTCCAGTGATATTTCACGTTCCTCCAGTTGATACATTCCAGTATGACTGCACTACTAACAGTACCTCAGCTAGTGCTCTGTCTCCTGTCCCCATACATTTATACCAGCACCATTTTTTATGCTTGAATTGTACTATCTCTTCAGTTTATCTCTTGGAATCTCCTTCCTTCAAAGATAAGTTCAAATGTTAAGTCTTCTCTAAAGTTTTTCTAATTGTTAGAACTCTTTCCCTTCACAAATTACTTTGTATTTTTTAATAAGGTCAGTATCCCCCAGTAGAAAAAAAGTTCCTTGAACTCAGGGGTGGTTTTGTTTTTGTCTTGTGTCTCCACTGCTAGCACAAATACCTTCTAAATTCCAAATGTTTTGTATAATTGAATGATGATTTGGAGGTAGCACATAATCTAGCACAGGGGTGGGGAGCCTGTGGCCTCGAAGCCACATATGCACTTCTAAGTCCTCAAATGGAGCCCTTTGACTGAATCCAAACTTCACAGAACAAATCTAATAAAAGGATTTATTCAGTGAAACTTGAACTCAGTCAAAAGGCCATACGTGATATTCGAGGGAGCAGGTTCCCTACCTCTGTCATTTTACTGATATTCTAGTAAAATTTAACACTTACAGGAGAATGTCAGCTGTTTAAAGGGGAGAGGGTCTATTTTTTTTCTGTCTTCATATTCCCATTAAGTAGCACAGTGCCTTACACACAATTGGCACTTAATAATGTTGAATGAATTGAGTCTATATAAAGTATATGTCTTTCCTTAATTCACTAAATTTAGCTAAGCTTTTGCTAGACTGATACATTAAATCTTTTGCAATTAGGAGGGACCTGCTGGAGCCCCACATTCTAGTGGAATGGGCTAGGATGATATAGGATCACTTACGTACCATTAAAAGGCATTGAAGTTAGACTTTTCGTTGATAGACCTTTAAATATATAAAAAGCTTTCTCTTTATCCCTACCATCTGCATGACATGTAACTCATTTGAAATAAAAATCTCAGTGAGTAGACTAATCTTCTGGGTTATATGTTTTAATCCATTTTATTGCAAATGTTTTGAGGTGTCTCAATTCCAAATTTGTTTTCTTTCTCTAGTTAGAGAATATAATGTAATATTGATAGAATTATAGATGGATATATCTTCAGTCATATGTTGTGGTAACTAGTTTTTACTTAAATTTTTTCCTTTATAATTTTATCCCTGGTGTGTTATAAGAGCAAATCTGGGGACATAGTAGGGCACTTGGAGGTAAGAGCAACCCTATTGGTTAAAATTTAAATTAAGCCTGCTTAATCACTGTTCTGGGGAAAATCTTTTTGCTGCAATGGATCTCTGGTTGATCTCAGGCCACAGTAACAGTGTTTAGCAATTAACAGGCATCATTCTAACCCTTCTAGCTGCTAAAAAAAAAGGCATATATTGGGGGTGCAAAAAGGGCAGAGAGATTTGACAGGTATAAATTCAACAGAGACATTTTAGAAGATTGAGCCACCCCATCCCAAATTAGAGAACAGGGAGGGTATGTCTTAATTTTCCCTGTATCCTTCCTTGAACATATTCAAATAAATCCATGATCTCATCAGTTTAGATGTACCCTTCATTGATAGAGATCATAACTGATCCATGCCTGCCCATTCACTGTGATTCTTTGCCTTTGTCCTTCCCACATGTTCACCGCTGGGAGGCCTTTCTGTTGACTTCTTAAGGATAGTAGTGGGAGCATTTAGACTATCCACCTGTTTTTCACGGAACCTCACCATATGACCAACCCATCTTCTTTTATGGTCGTATATTTTCGCTGACACTGTCCTTTACTTCTCTTCTTTAAGGCTCTTTCTTATACGTTGTAGCCTACTCTTTCATTTGTGCCCCCATTGCCCTTTGTGTGATGTTCTTTTTCAGGTTTTGGGGGCTATGTTTGTCTTATAGCTATTTAACAACACCAGTAGAATATTAGTATTAAAAAAATGAATCTTTGTTCCTGGAAGAAGATTGGGATCATTAAAGGAGTTTTTTAATTTCTTGGAGGCAATCTAGCCTAACTTTGAGCCCAGCCTATTGCCTCTTTGTCTTATCTGTTGCAGATATCCATGAATGAAAAAACTCTTCATGTCATAATTTGGGCAGTAGACATTCTTCAAACACTTGATTTTTCCTTTGTGGATTATCAGATGAAATTCTTGAGTGATTATGATTCTCTTTCAGAAGACTCAGTAATGGTTCTGGGGCTTGATGAACCAACACAGACAGTTTCGTCCACAAATGGGAAAAAGTGAATGACTTCTTACCATCCATAGAGATTCCCTCTTAGTCTTGCATTTGACTGGAGCTCCTCCATCAAAGGGAAAAGCACTTTTATTGAAAATACATCCCCTCGTTTTATAAATTTCCTGATGTTTGTTGACTTTCAGGTGATAAATAAGGTTATTTATATTATGTCTTTCAAGAAATTTTGAAAGATGTATGGATGAGAGATACCTTGCTAGAAGAAAGCTTATTAATTTGGCATTTAACTCGACTGAATTAAATGCTTTTAAAAAATCAAACAGTGAGCACTGGGGAATCTTGTAATCTTTGTATTTTTCAGGCAGTTGTGTAATGGTAAAGATGTGATCTGCTATAAATATTGTTTACAAAAATCTACCTGTTCTTTACTACTACCCTCATTGAGGATATGTTTGTAGGTGATTTTCTTTCAATTTATTTACACAAATGTTTATAGAATGCCTTTAATGAAATAGACCATGCCCTCAGAGAGCTTGCATCTTTTAATCTCATAGGATTAGGATCTGGAACTGTTATTTCACTGCTGTATGCAGTTCTATCAATGGAGGTCAGCACCTTTTTGAAATTTAGAGTATGGGTTGTTTAGAGCACTGAGAGGTTGTGACTTGCCCAAGATCACAGACCCAATATGTGTTAGAGATAAGACTTGAACCCAGATTTTTCTGATTTCTAGACCAGTTCTCTATTCACTACACCTCTGTATATTTTCATATAAGTAGGCATATATGTTGATAGCTATTTGATGTTCTTGTAGTCATCTTTTTTGGTATTAGGTCTAAACTTTTTTCTATGCCTTGGATATTTTTTTTCTGCTTCAGCTACCTTGTGAGTGAATCCTTCCATACTTTCATAGTTGTCACTTCTCATACAGATTTCTTCCCAGTGTTCCCTTGGCCTTATCTTGCTGCTTTTACTTTCTTTACTTTAAGCCTTAAAGTTTTCTCTCTGTGGATTGAGTGAATTTTATCTTCATAAATAACTTCTCATTTTTCCCCTTGAGAACTTTTTTTGTGTTTAAAAAAAATATATATAGATCAACAGTCTATCCTGTAATTGGATGGGGGACTTGGCAATAGCACATCTAGGACTAATGTTGGAATCTCAAATGTGGTCCTTTTATAGTCTTATGTATTTAAATAACTTTCATTTAAAAAATGTGTGTGTGTGTATATGTGTGTATATATATATATATATATACACATATACACACATACACATATGTATACAAATACATATGTATATATATGGATATATATATCTATATATCTATCCCTTCTGCCTCTTCACCCAGCAAGCACCCTGTGTGTAGATTTTTTTTTTAAAGAGGAAAAAAATGGAGTTCGGCAAAATCATTCAATACATTAGTTGTGTTTGACAGCCTACACAATATTTCATACCACAAGTCTCTCTCCTCTGTAATGAAGGGAGATAGGTACATTTTCTTAAGTCTTCTATTAGTCATTTTAATTACACAATATTCAGTTTCGTTTTATTGGTCATTCCCTTTACATTGCTGTGGTTATTGTGTATATTATTTTTCTGGTTCTACTTACTTAATCGTACAGCAGTTCAAATAATGCTTCTCTGAATTCTTTTTATTTGTAATTTTTTTACAATGCAATAACGTTATATTATGTTTATGGATCACAATTTCTTTTACCAATCCCCATTCATTGGGTATGAACTTGGTTTCCATTTTCTTGCTAGTAGTTCTGCTCCAGACATACTTGGGGTATGTGTATGCTTAGTGGCGTGATCTCTGGTTTATAGGGTATGGCCATTTTAATCATTTTTTTTTTGGTTGCAAAATTCCACATTTCTCTGGTTGGACTAATTCATACATCTGCCAATGGTGCAGTAGTATATTAGTTTTCTTAAAGCCCCATTCATTGTAGATATGATTTTTGCCAATTTTCTGAGTATGAGGTGAAAATCTTAAGTTTGTGTTTGATTCAGAAGGTAGTGGGATTCTTTGCATAGCCTTAGGGTGAACAGATACATTTATTTTATCTTTTGTTTGCAGAATCTTAGATTTTTCTCATTCATGCTGAACAGAAAAGTTGGCATTTTCCAATGCAAAATGAATTTTTAAAAAAACACATATATTAGGGTTTACACAGATAAATGAATGTTAATAAAATGACACATGTCTCTACTTATCCTCAATGAATCTCACAGTTGGGAATTAGGGAATCATAAAGGTTAGCAATTACTGATATGTCACTTTTTTTGGTAATAAGATTCAAGATTTTTTCCATTCCTTCAGTATCCTTTTGTCATATTCCTTGAGAATTGATTCCTCAGTGCCCTCAAAATTGGATTATGTCTAGCCACCTCTGAATATTTGATCTAGGTAGGCTGTTCTTTCCATCTTGTTTCTTCATTTTTAATGCCTCATATAGCATATCTAGGACTTGATCATAGATTTCAAATGTGGTGGCACTACTGTCCTTGATGGTGAAAACAGTTTGTTACAAAAGTCATTATAGATCTTTTCCATTTTTTTGTCTGGTGTTATCCCTCTTCAAGTTGTTTCATCTTCACTGTTCTTTGGGTGATTTTTCTCATTTGAGTTTCTGGTCAGGCTTTCTATAAATTCGTTCCTGTGACTACTGCTCAATGTTTTAAGGTAATACTACCTGATCTTTTACCATCCTCTTCAGTAAGATTTTAAAAATGAGTTCATATTCTCTGCTTAGCAAGATCAAATGTTTTCCAGATGAGGCTAGTTTTTGGGCCCTTTGATCTCCTCATTGTGGCAGCTGATTTATGTAGCTTAAACTTTAGGAAATGATTATCATCTGTTAATGGCTAGTCCTCTATCTGTGTTTTTCCACAACGGTTTGATTGGTGTTCTGGTTGTATTCCATCTTTCTCATTTTACTTCTCATTTCATATTAATTTAGAACCTTATTCTAGCAAGTTGGTAGTTTGAATGTATATATGTGGAATGAATGTACATGGACAGCTAATTTGAGAATCACTTCTCCATCAGTGATGAGATGAGTCCTATCTGTTAAAATATAATTAATAGTTTTGTTACTTATGTGATAGTTCTTTATTTATATTTGGTTGGTTCAAAAAGAGAAATGTATTGAGGAACCAAGGATCACCATAAAAATGAATAGTAGGTTTAGTGTGACAAAGAAAGTAAGAGAGGTAAAGAGAGATATTGAAGGTTATAATCATAGTGGAATTTCAAAGCTCCAGAGCCTTCCTATGTTGGAGGTAGTACAGTTCTAACAGTGGTGATGGCTAAGGCTCCTAGAGGTTATTCTTACTCAGTTGTCACTCATTCATCAGTTCTGGTGATGTTTAAATGTTTACTCTCATGATGCAGTAGTTAATATGTACCAACGTAGTCCCTGCCTCTATTTCTGAGCAAAAATTACCTTCTAGTAGTCACTGTTCATGTCTAAGTTTTACTTCTCTTCAGAATTTCTCTTAATCTTTTCCCTTTTCTCTAGTTGAACACATTTCTCAGAGAACTCTCTATATATAATAACTTACTGATATATTATTTGAATATGCTATTCATCCCAAACTACTTCTTTACTAGGTCTCTCTCACCTCAACCCATAGCCTTTTTACCCCTTTTTGCTATGATAAAATAAATATGGTAGAGCAAAAAGGTTTATTGAATAGCAGTGAGGGTCTAGTAGAGGTTATGTGACATAAATTTGTAGTGGGTGAAATCAGTTTAATTTTGTGACTTTCTCCAGTGATACTCAGCAGCCTTGGAGCAGAAACACAGAAATCGGATGGTGGGGGTTACCCAGGAATGAGGATTCGCAGCTCGGGAGCAGTGGAAGGTCAGTGGGACAAGGGATTCTAGGGAGTAAGTAGTGAGACACTAAAGTGAAAAACATGGGGTAAAAGCTTGATAGACTTTGGAGGAAAAGCAAGCCAGAATAGGGGAGTTGGGTTGGAATAAGAGGAAAAACATATTGAGGGACTAAAGGCCACAATAAGAACAAATGATAGGTAGCTGACTGAGAAAGTGGAAGAGGTAGAAGATAGGTGATCATTCATGGTCAGTTACTTTGGAAGTGATGCAGTTCTGGTGATTATGGTTGTGTGATTGCTGTGAGATGGAGAAGGTTGTTGGAGTTGATGGTATTAAAGAGTTGAGAGGTCGGATTGCTAAGAGAGGTTATCAGTGTGAACTTTGAAGTCTTTAAGGTTAATGGTATGAAATGGGGATAGAGTAGAAGACTGAAGCAAATGTTAAATTCTGAGAACATATCTGGGGGTCAGTAGATAATTGTCACAAGAAGATAGTGTAAATTAATTGAATGGATCTTTGAGGGGTGGAAGTATAGAAATTGTCATAGGTAATTATGATATCCTTCCAACATTCTAAACTTGATAGTAAAGAACTGCCTCTAGGTTGAGTCAGTTCAGTATATGTTGAATGGAAGCTTGTTGAGGGCAGGGACTTTTGTTCATTTTGTCTTCAGATCTCCAGTGCTCGGCATAGTACTTTGAACATAATAAGTACTTAATAAATGATATTTTAATTAAAGCCTATTTTGTGACAAGTTCTTTACCAAGTGCAGGGTAAGATAAAATTTGGATAAAATGTGGTTCTTATCTGTCATAGAACTTATAGTTTAGTAGAAAGATGTGATATATAGGGTGTCCCAAAAAATGCATGTACACTTTATCAGTTCAAAACTGTAACAGCTCTTCTTCTTCTGAAAATAAACATAGAAGTTATTAACTGAAGTGTGTAAATATTTTGGAGACATCTTTTATGTACAGTTAATTATAGTAAAGAAAAACAATACATAAATATAATGGAAATATATTAACCACCTTGTTCATTTCCAGGAGAATCGGATATTGATCTTTGAGGTGGCATTTGAGTTGACTTTTTAAAGGGTGGATAGAACATTGCATTCAGGATTTTTCTGTTGATTGACAGGATTTGTTGCCTCATTTTTCTTTTAGTGATTGTATTTGGGGGGAAAAAATGTTTGGGATGTAATACTCCTTTTTGATATCTTTTTTGCCTTTTGTGTTTTTTCTATTTTTAGTAAAGGAGGATATTTCTTTGTATAGGAACTGGGATTGAATCCTGGTTTTGCCACTTCCTACTTGTGTGACCTTGAGTGGGTCACTTACTTAACCCCATGGGCCTTGTTCTTATGTCTAAAGTCAGGGAGTTGGACTCGATGACTTCTGAAGCTCCTCACGACTCTAAATCTTTGATGCTGTGAATATTCTTGAGTTTGTTGAGGCTTAACTATCTTAGTGACCTGTTCAGATTAAAGATAGTAAGAGATGTATGGTGTGATTTGTTCTCTGAATATAGAGAGAGATTTTGACAGAATTTTTCAAAATTCAAAATGCTTTTATCTGGTAAAGACTTTTGTTTTATATTATATGTGCATCTGAAAAATTTTCCAGTAAAATTTTTGCATATCTTTTGTGTGGTACTGAAGATGGTAAATTTAAGTCTATTTTTTTTTTTTAGCCATGAAACATTTAACATATATGCAGGTATATTGGTTGGTATTAGATAATATAGGTGTGTCTTGATGTATGTTATATGTACATTCCCTAAAAGTTCTGTGAATAGAATTTTTATAATTTAGATTAAGTTTATGAGAGGATTTACCATAAGACGATAAATATCATAAAATGACTTATCATAAGATTTCTTTGAATGGTAAGTTGAAGAATTATTTTAATAATCAAATGACTACCCTTTTTCCTAGAACTTTTGAATATGTTTTTAGAGTGAGTTGTGCTTACTTTGCGTGAAAGTAAAATGTTTTCACTTGTCAGATACTATAGTAAAACACCTAAGAGAAGTATGGTTAGTAGGACTTGTGAGTCAGATATCAGTATTAAAAAGTTTGTAAAGACGTACTTAAGTTAATATTGTTGAAGATAGAGGATGTGGCTATCATGTGGGTGACTTACCTTTTTGGAGAAAGGGTGGCATTTTGAATTTTGTCTCAGAAGAAATTTATTTAATTGGTGTATATTTAATGTGCATATTTCAAAATTCAAAAATAGAGGGATAATCTTACTAAATAAAAATTTCATCTTAAAACATTCCCATATGTCTGTGTTTACACACACATGCATATGTAGGTTAATAATACATGCATACATATACAGTTAATATTAGCAAATATCTTGGCGATTTATATTTCATTGCCTGCAGGATCTGAGGTTTCTGGGCCACAACTTTTGCCAGTGAGAGCACTAAATGAAGTCTTCATTGGGGAGAGTCTGTCATCCAGGTATGTTAAAACTTTTCTTAATTTTGTCATTTTTATGTTTGTTACATAGTTCTTTGGAAATTCATTGAATTTTCAAAACATGAATTTGAAAGATTTTTTTTACCCCTTTAGTTGACGAATTAAGGTTTTTGCATGGAATATACATTTTAATTCCATTTTAATTTTGTGTTTTTTCCATTTTTTCTTTTCTTTCAAATTCATCCCTCTGTTTTGATTGCTTCCAGACTTTAATTGTTCAGGTTCGCATCATAGATTTAGAAAATACCAGGGAAACATTATTGTTCTGAGAAGCTCAGATGGGTGTATAAAACAATATAAAGCTGATTTAGCTATTGATGGTACTTCCAGTGTTTGTATAATTTCTCTTCCTTTTGCTAATTTTATTGAGAAGAGTAGGAGATTGAAAACTTAACAGCTGTCTCTTTGCATGATTATTTACCTTCCTTGCAACCACTAGGAATCATTTATAACTATCTTTCTTCCTCTTGGTACATGTCTGAATTCTCCAGTAATTACAAAGTCTATAATTTGCTGCAAATCAGATCTTGTCACAATTGATATTTACAGTGAGAAAAAAAATAATTCATCAAAGTGTATGTTCACTCACCTCAGGCAGTATTGTATAGGACAAAATGCCAACGCAATAAAAATTTGATTGCCTTCTTTTATATTGTAATAGGTTTGATCTGTGCGTTTCAGTATAGTAGAGAAATTATTGTATGAAGACAGATACTAATAAGGCCTAACAGATCTAAAGTGAAATAAGATCAGTAATGTATATTTTTGTGTGCTGGCAGCAATATGATGAGAACATTTTTTTCGATTTAATTATACACCTAGTCTCTACCTTTAATAGAGAAGGAGAAAAGTATGAAGGAAATTGGAGAAAGTTCCTCCTTCAATTACTTTTGTGCTATCCAGGCCCCTTGTTACTTCATAGGTTCATAGGTTATTATCCTTGGAAGGAAACATCTAGTTTCACTTTCCTCTTTTGAACAGATAGGACTCATGCTGCTTTTTTGTTCTATTTGCTTCTTATACTATTACTCACATTATTAAATAAAAGCCTGCTATCACAGACATTCTGTGCACTGTATTTTGTAAGACTCCAGCCTATCCATTTGTGATGCCATTCATTAGATTAAAATTTGGTGTATATTGGTTCAGTCCTCAACTGTATGCAAGAGATTTTGGTTATTGTACCCAAAGAATTTGTATTTCATGGCATCTGACATAGATGCTGATTGTGAGGTTGCTCTGTATTTTGTATTTTCAAAGTGTTGCATGTTCCTAATACTTCTGCCTCATTGATAAGCATAAGGTATGTTTAAAATGAGGAACACTTAACCCATAAAACAACCCAAAAAGCCCATTTTTTTCCCATTTGTCCTAACCTAGAATGTCTCATTCTTGGGCTGTCGCTGTGGACAGTGTAAGAAGAGGTATAACCACTCTAAAGGGACTGTGAGTTTCTTTAAAAAATCATTTTCCTGGAACAAAATTCTGAGGATTGACTAATCTTTTATAAAGCTGCATGTGATAATCACATTAATTTGCCCAGCATAATCCGTATTATTCCCTGTGCCCTTTTCTCTTATTCTTAGTCTTTTTTTCCCCCAGACTCTAATCACCCCTGTCTTGTGTTGTCTTACTCTGGTCCTACCCTCCTTCTCACCTTCTTTAATAAATCCTCCTACATCTTCTTTAATTTCTTCTCTCTTTTCTCATTCCCTTAAATTTCCTATCTTGCCATCACAATATCCTTAACTATTATTTCAGGACATTTTGGCTTGTGCTGGTCTTCTGCTTTTTAGCTTCGTATGCTTTTGGTTTATTGCATCACTTTCTCTTCTCCTTTTTGCATCTCCTATCTCCACATACCTTTAATCCCATTTCTCTGTTTGCTCTCGGTTTGGTGCCAGCCATTACTACTCCTTATTCGGGCCTTGTTTGTCTGGACATGTGCAGTAAATGTGCTACCCTCACTGTCCATTTTCTACACAGACCAAACAGGGCTGTGATTAAAGAAAAAATGTAAATGAGAAGGAGAGTAGAACCTTGTGTTTTGTAGGAAGAATTAAGAGTATGTGAGATATTGACCAAATTGAGCCCTTTCAGAAGTAACAAAAATGTTTGTGCTGGAAGATAGTTTTCTCCTTTGGACCAATGTGATAGACGTGTTTAATTGCTTAAAAGGCTGCACCTACAAAGAGTTTTCCTTCACTTCTGTTAAAATGATTACTTTTCTCTGCCAGGGATAATATCCACTGCAACTAATAATGGCATCTTTCAGAAACTCCCCAACAGTTGGAAATCATTCAAAATTACATTTCAATTTAAAATTTTTCACTTGCATTTAAAAGGTAAAGGTAACTCATTTTATTCTAGATTTGTAAACTAAAATGCATCTATTAAGAGCAAATGTTACTTTCTTTTCATTGCCAGCTTTACCAAGTGCTTTATTAAGTTTGTAAGAAGTTGTTGAGATTTTCTTTGGACTCTAACCAAATATTATTGTTATATTGGCCAGTTCAAAGGCAAACATAGTAGATCACTTAAGACATAAGCAGTTCTCATTTAACTTGGTTCAAGGACTGCTAGATGCAATATTTAATAAGTATTCATTTCCTTGTAGAAATGAAGTCTACTTAAAAGTTATGTTCTTTTGGGTGATGAGGTGAATCATTTTGCTAGATGCTGTGAGGACAGGAGATAAAATTACCTCCAAAAATTACCTGAAGAAGCTTCTGTTAGAAATAAAAAAAATAATTTCAAAAAAGGAACAGTCAGACAAGGTAGGAGATGATTTCATTTTTTAAAACAAAAATTGAATCAATGTCACAGTCACAATACCACGAAGTACCTTTACCTAATTTAGAATTTACTTATTTAGAATTCAGTGGTTCTAATAGTGGGCTATGTTCTGTTTTACTCAGGGTGAACTATAAATCCTGCAAACCCAGTTTTACATTTTCAATTCATAGGGCCTCCTACTATGAAATCTCAGTTGATGATGGTCCCTGGGAAAAACAGAAGAGTTCAGGACTCAATTTGTGTACTGGGACAGGATCAAAAGCCTGGTGAGTGACTGAATATTTTTCTTTTTAAGATATTAATGGTTGTAAGCACCTCAGTTCACTTGACTGTCTTACATTAGGGATTCTGAGGGTTCTGAGGAAAAAATAAAGAAGCTAATATTAACATTTTTGCCCCTCCTAAGAAGTGATCTCTGTAACTTTGGGTCAGGATACTTGCTTTCTGGAGTCTTAGTTTTCCAGTATTTAAAATAAGAGTATTGGTTTCTATGATATCTAAGGTCTATTCCAACTCTTAATCTTATAATCCATATTGTCCAAAGAGTGTGGGTTCTTGACATATTTTGTGTCATGGATCCCTTTGGCAGACTTGATGAAACCTATGAAGCTCTTCTCAGAAGTATACTTTTAAATGCATAAAATAAAATACATAAGATTACAAAGGAAATCAATTATATTGAAATACAGTTCTCAGAATATTAACAAAAAAAAAAAGGTTCATGGACCTCAGGTTAAGAACCTCTGCCACAGTAATAGAGGGACCTCAGAAGGTCTGCTTCTACTTCTTGCATTACTGTTGAAGCTCAGTCAACCAGTCTGTACCGGGTGCTTCCCAAACAAGTGCTTTGGGAAAATGTAACAGAAATGGGGAAATTGGTACCATCAGCTGGAGGGTCTCCAGAGGAGTGCAACCAGAATGGTAAAGCTCTTATCATATCTTATGGCAATTATGTAAAAAAGTTGGGAATATTAAGTTTGAGGAAGAGAGAACTCATGGAGGACATGGTAAATATTTTAAGTATTTGAGAGGGCTGTGAAAGATGTGATTCATTCTGCTTGTTCCCAGATGGCAGAAATAGGAGTTATTGCAGAAAGGTAGGTTTATGCTAAATGAAAGGAAAAAACATCATAACAGATTATGGGGAATGGGATGGGCTGCCCCTGAGTAAGTAGTGAGTTTCTCCTCACTGGAGGCCTTTAAGAAAAAACTAGATGACTACCTGTATGTTGTGGAGGAGATTGTTGTTTAGCTATGAATCCAAGTAGGTGGCCTCTGAAGTCCCTTCTAACGTTTAAGAGTCTTTGATTATCTGAAATGTTATGTGACCTTTTGGTAATACTTAGGCATAAAATTATACTGAAGAACAGCCAAGAGTAATAGAAGTGCAAATTACATAGCATGCATAAATGCTGAGGGCATGTGCCTTTGACTCCATTCCTTCCCATCTTCAGCAGATTATTGCACAGTGACACCAAGTCACTGCCCTACTCAGTAAACACAGTGGCACCTTATTGCTGGTAGGATCAAATGTAAGTTCCTTGGTTTAGTTTTAAAGCCCTTCATCATCTGACCCCAACCTGTCTTTTTGTCCTGAGTTTACATTACTTCTGCTACACTCTATGATCTAGCCAGCCTGGCCTACTTTCTTCCTTACACACAATGCTGCATTTCCTGTCTCTACCTTTGTACTGACCATCCAGATGCTTGGAGTGCACTCCTTCCTTTCTCAGTTCTCATAGAATCCCCTCTCTTCCTTCAAGACTCAACTCAAGTACTACCTTCTAGAAGTTTTTCCTGGTTCCCTTCAATTGCTAATGCCCTCCCTCTGCCTAGAATTTAACTACTTTGTGTTTGTTCTCTTTATATCTGTTCTTTATATTTATATATGTACTTGTCTGTCCAGTTAGTATCTGTTGATACTATTTCGTTCCTCGTATTTGTATCCCCAGTCCTCTTAGTCAGTGCCTTGCACGTAGTTGGAGCTTAAAAAAATGCTTGTTGATTGATGATAATTGGTGGTTGGTTGATTGATCACAGAATAAAAGAGTAAATGGGCAAACTGGGCTTCTTGAAGTTTCTATGTCCACATAGTAATAAATTAGGGTTAGTTACCCTGATAAGCTATCTCAGTATTTTATTGTGATATTGTTGTACTCCTTGTGAGTTGGTCCAGAAGACCTCGTTAACAGCATAGACCTTGAAGGTCTACGTGAACATGGTGACACACTGCTGCCATTCAGAAATTTTTTGATTATTTGCCCTCTTAGTTTATACATGATGACCTTCAAGGTTGCTTCCAGCTCTTGGTCTGTGATTCTTTTAACACTGAGATTGCTTACCCAATGCAGATGTTACTGATGAAATCTGGACTTTTCACCTACTTTGTAAGGTTCCATTCTTATCAGGCTTTCCCAGGCACTGTGACTAATAAATGGCATGAAGGTAGCAGTTGTTTTTTGGGGGGGGGCAGTCACAACTTAGGGGCTTGGGTCCTTAAGGTTGCTTACGCTACTTTCCCAGTTGATGGAAACTCTGGTAACATCTATGCTGCCATGTATCTCAGATTTCAGGAGGGCTGATATCCCCAGGGGTGGATACAAACAGAGATGGCACATTTGTTCCTCGTAAAGAAGCCTGTTCGAACCATTAGTGGGTATACTTACTGGCATGTTCCTTGGCTCCTTGGATCCTAAAAGAAAACTTTTATCATCTCAATTGATATGGCTTGGCACAATTGGCATAGTGTCGGTGTAGTTAAGTTCTCTTTTTTTAATAGACTTTTGATAAATATGAGTCATGTAACTTTAAACATGTAGCAGAATATATTAAATTTAAAATTCTAGGTTAGTATTTCTTTGAATATTTTTGATCCAAGGTCTTGCTGACCACCTATAATAACTTGTGAAGACAAATGAATTGGTTAATATACTTTTCTGGCCCTTTTGTTTTCCTCCTTTGATACACCATTTTCTCAACCCCCACTGAAAAGAAATTTGACTAAAACACAGTCACCAAATTTTAGTATGAAAATGAATTATTTGAAATTAATTTATTAATATCTGATAACATTCATAAACTCATGGACTCTTAGGTTTAGAAAAGACCTTTGAGGTCATTTCAATACAATATCCCACCAACTTTCTCTATGATTTAACTAAAGGCATGCCTCTTGTCTTGTAAGCAATTGCTGCTTTCCAGAGACTCCCAGGGCTGTGAATAAGACCTAGGGCAACAGGAATGTTTCCTCTGATGTACTTGTTCACTAATTCTCCTTAGAAAAGGGTCTGGGTCTAAGCATGGGATCAAAAGAGACAAATTCATTATCAGGTTTAATTTATAAGTAAGGGAGGTGCTTTGTACTTTTTTTTTTTTTAAGATTTTCCTTCAAAAGGAACAGTAGTTGGTGTTTCACTGAAAGGAATTAAAAGGCAAAAGCAGCATTAAAGCAGTAATATAAAAAGTACAGAAAAGACCAAATAACTCTCTTATTTCATGCTTCCCTAACTTCCTCCTCTTTCCCATATGGTGTTGTGATTATCATTAATTATCCCCAACAGGTGGTAAAACCAGAAAGAAGATCCAGGAGACATAGTATCTCCCCCAGACATACTGTAAAGCCTCTTTCTTTGATGTTTGTTCTGGGCAATTTTGATTTGAGCAACAGCAGTCATTCAAATAATATTTTTTAAGATAGCTAGCTATCTTCTTTATGAAGTACTTTTGGGCCAACTAAATGCTGTGGCTACAAATACAAGCAAACAAAATAGTCCCTGTCTTTAAAGACCTTACATCCTGATGGGGATGGGGAGGAAGATAACAGATAAAGGGAAGCTGGCAAGAAGGTTGTACATGCTGCAGTGGGCCATGGTGTGGAGTCCTGGGCTCTAGCAAGATATGGCAGAGGCTGACCTCTATGAAACAAGGCACCTGGGAGCAGAGTTTACATCCCTGAGGAGGTGATAGTCTGTTTTGTGCTCAGACAATTTACTCCTGGGGAAGTGAGAACCTATTTTGGACACAGAGAAATATAATATATTTTCTGCCTTCAAGAATCTAATACTTGGGTTGATGTTATCAAAATATAAGTGCTATAGTAGTTCTGAGGATGAAGAGAGTTCTTACTGCCTCTACAGTCAATTTTAAAATGGCTCTGTATTCATTGGCTCCATTTCCTGATCTCCCATTTTTCTTTTTCCTAACCCTACTAGTGTAGTGAAACTGTTCTCTCCAAGGTTACTGGTGACCTTTTAACTGCAAAATCCAGTGGACTTTTCTCAGTCTACATCTTTATTGATCCTATATCTTTTGATACTGTCAGCCACATCTTTCTCCTGGATGTTCTCATCTCCCTTAGTTCCTGTGATGTTACCCTTTCTTGGTTTTCTTCATACTGCTCTTATTACTCCTCTTCGCTTATGTCATGCTTATGTCATGAACTATGTGGATACTATCCTAGGCTTTCTCTTTTTATACTCTTGGTGATCTCATTTAGCTCCCATGGTTCCAATTATCTCTCTGTATGTGACTCCTAAATCCATATATCTGGCCCTACTTTCTCATGAAATTCAGTGCCAAATTACCAGCTGTCTGTTGGACTTGTCTGCCTTCAAGTTCTGTTGTCATCTCAAACTTAACCCATCCAATATGGAATCCATTCTTTTTCTCTCCATATCCCACTTTCCAAACTTAGCATTTCTTTTGATGACACCACCATCAGTTTCAACTGTTAACAGTCTTGGAGTCATTCTTCTCTGTCTCTGTCTCTCTCTCCCTCCCTCCCCCCCTCCCCCCCTCTCCCTCTCTCTCTCCCCCTCCCCCTCTCCTTCCCCCTCCATAGTATCTTGTGTCTGTCACTTATGCACTGAATCTTTCCTATTTGAGGTCCTCATCACTTCTCTTCTGCACTATTGCAGCAGCTTCCTGATTGATCTTCCTTATTCCATATCTCCCTTCCACTCCATTTTCCACACAGCTGCCCAAATTTTATTATCAACACATAATCTGACCAGGTCATGTCACCCCCCATTCTAATTTATCCTCTGGGATAAAATATAAAATCCTTCCCATCTGGCTCCCATCAGCCTTTCCAGGATCATTGTATGTTATCTTCTTGTATGTACTCTGTTCCAAGCAAACCTACCTGCTAACTGCCCTTGTACACAACATTCCATCCCTTGCCTCTCTAGCTTTGCATAGGTGATGTTTGGAATTCACTTCCTTTTTACCTTTGCCTCATAGAATCCTTAGCTTTCTTCAAAGCACA